TTAATTTCCATTGAAATGTTGGAAAATACCCATTAAAAGTCCTGACAAGTTATCCTCTTATCAACTAAATTCATAAGCAAAATAAATACAGTAACAAGTCCTTCTCTCTGAAATGCTGGGGGAAAAAAAAGGATAATGAACCCTTCATAAGTTAGACATTTAAAAAAAAGGATATTAAAACCTCATGCTCCAGTATATAAGGCAACCTCTAATTGAGGAAGCCATTAAGCAAGGTCCATTAGACAGCAATTTGATATAAACTGTCTTCTACCTTCCTTTGAAGGACATGACAAACTATTGTCAAGGAGCAGAAACCTGAGCTGAAACTGAGGTTACTTGATGAGACTGCTACCATTTTTGCAAGACAAGATTTTGAAACTGAAAAAAAATGCCATAGGAAGTCTAAGAGGCTGTTAAGCCATAATTGGTGGTGTAGAAAGAAAATTTAACTACTACCTAGGGAAGTTTCTGTCTCCTGTCAGTCAAAATTCTCATGACCAAAAGACTGACCATTTTGCAGAAGTCAAAGGATGCCATGGCACTGAAAATTACAAATGACTTGAGCAAATAGCAGAGAGGCAGCAGGGACCATCATTTGTACATAATTGCTCAGCTGTAATTAGCTATGTGAGCTTTCCTGCCTTTTGTAGAATAAAGAAGTCAACTCCACCTCTTTCTAAAGACTATTTTTGTTTGTATGGTCAGCTACAACTCAGAAATGGTATAAGAAGGTGTTCTTGACCACCTCTCAGCTGTTAATCTCTGTGTCTCAACATCTACTTATTTCTCTGCGGATGACTTATTCCAAGTGCAGAAGGAAATAAGATAGAAGTAAATCCATTTGTCCACAAGGAACCATCATAAAACCATGGCACTCTTCCCATACTCTTAAGTCAAGAGTAGATTTATTATTTTTTTTATGAAATACAAATTGATCTTATGATTTAACAAACTAGAACTAGAACAATAAATCCTGTTTCTCCTTGACCAATTGTTTCCAAAAAATAAATGCCCCAAGGAGTTCCTGGTCCATTGCCTATGTCTGAACTGGCATACTGTTTGTAGCCAAGAATTTTGAGAGATTTCCTTTTAAAGACTGAGAACTTATTCACACTTGTTTCTACCTGGCCTAATTTTCTTAGGGATTACTAATTTATTCTCAGTTATTCTTATTTTGTACAATTCTAGTGCCTTATTCATGTTACAAGAAGAACAGCATACATAAAAACCAAAGACTGATGACATTTACATCACAAGATTTTGCTTTGCCTGCTTTGCCACTGAATTGAGGGGTCCCAAAAGAGGTAATAATTTATCATAGGGAGGCAAAATCATTCCCTACCTGGTCACCATCCAGTCCCAAGCTAGCTTGAGGACAAATGCCCAAATCCAAAGCTCTGTGAAGTGTAAGAGATGACTTTCACCTGGCAACCTCCTGGGTATCAAAAGTTGCTCCAGAAGATGGCAGATTGGATTTTAGGAAAAATGTTTTCACAAAAAGGGTTGCCAAGAATTGGAACAGGCTGCCCATGGAAGAGGTTGAGTCATCATCCCTGGAGTTATTTAAAAGACATGTAGCTGTGACACTTAGGGACACACCATAATGCTGGACTTGGGTTAATGATTAGACTCTGTGATCTTACAGGTCTTTTCCATCCGAAATGATTGTATGATTCTATAAAAATCAGACTGCTCTTGGCTTCAGCTCCCTCTGGTGGGTAATGCATACTGCAAAGACCAGCAACTACTGCTAAAGGTGACCACCAAAAAAATGAAAGAAGCTGCAGGTTTCTATTATTTTTCTTAAAATACAGCTAAGCGCACTGGATGAGCAATGATTACAACAGAGATCAAAGTTACAGCTACATCTTTGCACATTTGTGCTGAGAAGTAGAAGATACAAAGTTCCTGCCAGAACAGAACTCCGTTTGAATTCAGAGAAGAGATGGGGGTTTCAGTCCAGGCAGAAACTGATTTTCAACATCTAACACTGATTAAAATGAAGAACTAGTTAAACACAGTTTGTTTTTATGAGAACATTCACTTGGATTTCTGTTCTTGACTGATATTTTGAGCTGTCCTGGTTTCAGCTAGGATAAAGTTAATTTGTTTCCTGGCAGCTGGTGCAGTGCTGTGTGTTGGATTCTGTGTGAGGATGATGCTGGTAACACACCGATATTTGGTAAGCAGTTCTTACCCCAAGCCAAGGACTTCTCAGTGTCCCAGGTTCTGCCAGTGACAAAGTGCACAAGGAGCTGTGAGGGACCATGGCCAGGACAGCTGGCCTGAACTGGCCAAAGGGATATTCCGTACCATGGAATGTCATGCTCAGGACATAAATTTGGGGAAAGTTGGTCAAGGGGCACTGATGGCTGGTCAGGGACAGGCTGGGCATTGGTCAGCAGGTGGTGAGCAACTGGACTGTGCACCTCTTGTCCTTCTTGGGGTTTATTACTCTCTCTCATTTGCATTACAATTATTATTACTATTATTAGTAGTATATTTCATTCTTTTTCAATTAATCAACTGTTCTTATCTCAGCCTGTGAGTTTTGGGGGTTTTTTTTATGATTCTTTTCCTTGGCATGGGGAATGGGTGGAGTGATAGAACATCTGTGTGACACTTAGTTACTGGCTAGGATTAAAGCTCAGCAAAGGCATAAAGGTCGATGCCCTTCCTAAAAAGCATTCTGTTGGCAGGATTCAGAAAATATTCGTTATTTGGCAAATCTCACACCCCAGAGAGTCTTCATCTGTTAAAATTAATTTAGTTTCAGTGAAAAAGAAAACAATGCTTTTAAATGTGTGATTATCTTACCTACAAAACATGTATGCCCACCTATTTATCTGCTGAAATAACTGAAACTTACAGCATATTTTATAATTATATACTTGGGAACAAATCTAAGTCCTTCCACAAGGACAATGTGCAGACTGTATGGCAGGATCCCAAATACGTCGGTTATGATAATGGCAACTTGTGATAATTCTTATGTTAACATAAAATCAGTAATCTCTCCTCTACAAAATAGCACTTAAATTTTGATTACCTCATAAAAATGCATGGAAATGTTGCCAGCATCAGCGATCTGATAGAAGCGGCTTAGAATGAATTGTACTTTTCTGCTCTCACAAGTGGCACCAATAAATCAAACATTAGTTTTTGCACCTCTGTGTTGGTTTTTCTTTCATTCAGAAGCTTGCTTGTTGGTCTGAATCACATACTGACAGTTGTTTTGGAAAAAAACCCCAATAATCCCATCAGAAAACTGCAATTGAGTATGAGAACATTTGGGACAAGAATGGTCAAGTAAATTCAGGTTCTTCAATGGACCATGACCCTACTGTTCAAGCTGAGGTCCCACTTAAGCAACTGTATAGCCTATTCATTAAATGGCTCATGGAATTACATTACATTTAAAGACATCTCAGTGAATGAGAGGCTGCACATGACACCTGGCAATGTGTGCTGGCAGCCCAGAAAGCCAAACATGTCCTGGGCTGCACCCAAAGCAGTGTGAGCAGCAGGACAAGGAAGGGGGTTCTGCTCCTCTGCTCTGCTCTCATGAGACACCACTGGGAATGCTGCATCCAGCTGAGGTTCCCAGCACAAGAAAGACATGGACCTGTTGGAGCAAGTCTAGGGGAGGGCCACAGAAATGCTCAGAGGGCTAGAGCACATCTCCTATGAAGAAAAAGGGTTGCGATTGTTCAGCCTAGAGAGGAGAAAGTGGAGACCGGACTCTGGCCTGTCATTACTTACAGGGGGCTTCTAATAAAGATGGGGGCAAATATTTTAGCAGGGCCTATTGTCCTAGGACAAAAGGTAATAAGATTAAAGAGCATAGATTCAGACTGAATATAAGGAAGAAGATTTTTACAATGGGGTTGGTGAAACATAGGAACAGATTGCTCAGAGAGGTGGTGGATGTCCAGTCCCTGGAGACATTCAAAGCAAATTGGATGGGGCTCTGTTAAAGATGTCATTGAAGGGGAGTTGAACTAGATGACCCTTAAAGGTCCCTCCCAACCATTTTATGAATCCTTGATAACTACACTGCAGGCATGTGTTTTACATCACAACTTTCATTCTGAAAGAAGCTGTAGAACTTACAACAGACATTATCAGAAGCTCTTCACAAGATATGTAATTTTAATTGGAATTCTAAGCAATGGATAAAATACCCTAGAAACCGCTTCCAGAATTATTTTAATTAGCTCTTCTCCCCTTATGCTGCTTCATATGTTTGCACTTATATTAAGTAACATAAGGCTTTTATGAGGTGAGGGGCTTACATGCAAGTCATATACAGTTCAGACAAACATGTTTGTAGGACCGAATCCCCCATGTGGTGGAGGACTGGGGACAAAGCACATTTGTATGAACATGCTTACCATACTCATAGTTCTGTGCGCTAAGAAAGAAGTACTAAGTGACTTCATTAGCCCTGATGTACAACCCCTTTGAACCCCAGAGAAAATATCTGATTTTCTTTTGTTCTTAATATTAAACCCAGAAAAGATCTGTTTTTAAGAGGCTCGTGAAATCTGTGGCTTTGCTGTTAAATTATTATTGTGTTATTAAGACTACTCCACAGTAGTCATTTTATTCTCTGCAGTTAAATAGCATTTCACAGCATGTGTTTTATTTTGTTTGGCTAAATTCCAGGCTTTCTGGTCCTCTAGTAGAGCCTAAAGAGTTGCCTGCAGACTGTAAAAAGAGTTACCTATGTTTAAGTGGATTAAAAAACAAATTGAACTTGGAAAAGGCATTTAGGGTTATTGCAAAATAATGTCTATTTTACATACTTATTACAGTGGTAACCCTCTCACTAAGGTATTGCTTGTCCTACCACAAGATTCTCAGGAATGCCAAAACTGATGACGTCTTCTATCTTATTTTATTACCAAAACTAATCTGTCCCCCTCTTTTAGGAAATAATGTACTGCTGATCATTCTGGCTGAATGCTCTTCTCCTAACTTTGGGTTTCTAGTCTCACCTGTCTCCAGAAGCTCAGTGGATGCTTCCTCTCTGAGAGCAAGCGGAGCATACTCTTGAAATATGTTATGCAGTTTCTGGAAAGTGCTCAGCCGTTTGCGCGTAGCTTGCTGCCTGTGTGCAGATCCCTGCTGAAAATATCCCTGAAAAATGTGTTACAAACATGACTAAAAGACAAGCTGTGAGAACATACTGGAAAGTTAAGAAGCTGCTCTAACCATAAAACATGATTAAAGAACACCATTACTTCAGGTAGGTGCAGCTCTAGCCTACCAGATTGCTGCACAGTTTGGCAGATGGACAGATGTGGATTTGAGACTTACTATCTCTGTTTTAACAAGTAGATATCTCAACTGGGAAAATTACACCATCTCTAAGATGGGGATAAAATCTCATATATCTATTTGATGACAGTGTAACCAGCATCATCAATAAAGGCTCAGGGAATATTTTCCTTCAGATAATATCTTTCAGTGCTGTACTTCATGCTATAATGAGCAAAGCACTGCTGCTCATTTAAACATACAAATCATTTGCACGATAAAATGTTGAAGGAAACTCTTCAGACTCGGTATTTTTTAATGTAAGTGCTTAGCAATCAGATTTCCATTGATTAAAGGAGTGAATCACCTTCAGATTAATGAAGAATAAATTAATCTCCTTAACAGATTGGAAAGAAATGCATTCCTTTACTGAGCAACTTCTGAACAGAAAGAAATCAGCACTCACCTGGTAGGCTGCAGTTTGTAAGTACTTGCAACAAAATGGACATGAGAAAAGCACATTTCAGGTTACTCAGGGAACTAGTAAGTGAAATCTCCGAGGAAAATGTTTTTGCTGGTGCTGGGGTCCATCAATGCTGGTCACTTTTTAAACATCACCTCCTAAGAGCACAGGAGCAACAATTCAACAAATGTCAGAAGTCAAGACAAGGCAGAAGGATATTTTGGCTGAATAGGGACCCTCTCTTGCAAATAAGGTGAAAAAAGGGAAGGTCTATGCCCAGTGGAAGCATGGTCAGGTGAAATGGGAAGAATACAGAGATGCTTCTTGCCACTGTAGGGAGAAAATTTGTGGGGCCAAAGCTCAGTTGGAGATGAAGTTGACCAGTACTGTTGGGGACAATAAAAGGTTTTTGTCAAATATATTAATGGCAATGGGCAGTGAAAAATAACATTGGCCTGTTACAGGATGAGGATGGTCACCTCACAAACAGGATCAGGGACCAGGCAGAGGTGTTTAACGCATTCTTTGCCTCTTGGCTGGAGTTGATGGACCAAGGGGGTTTCAGTGCCATGAGATGGAAGACCAGGGCTCATCTCGAGACTGTTCAACTCCCAGTTGACCCTGAAGTTGAGCAGGATCTGCTGCTTCAGTTGGATCCCTAAAAATCTATGGGGCCTGATGGGATTCATCTGAGAATCCTCAAGGAGCTGGCTGATGTCATTGATCCTGATTTTTGAGTGGTTTTCAGAATCCAGAGAAATCCCAGTGGACTGGAAGCTGGGTGACACTGTCCTGACTTTCCAGAAGGGCAAGAGGGAGGACCCTGGAAGTTACAGGCCTGTCAATCTCATTTCAGTGCCAGGTAAAATCATGGAAAAAACTATTCTGGAAGATACTGAAAAACATCTGGAGGACAATGCAGCCATCAGTCCCAGGCAGCACAGCTTCATGAGAGGGAAGTCTTGCTCGTCAAATCTGATTTCCTTCTATTTCGGCTTCCTTCTGGGAATGAAGATGACACATTAAACAGATCCTGCTCATCTGAAATGTCTGAGTCCAATTCTCTGTTAGAATGAACTCCATTTATACTTTTGATGATTTGCCAGTTCCCAAGAAGTGTTGAGTAACACCTGCTTGATTACAATCTGTCTGCACTGCTCTTTTGGTCAGAATTATCTCTTTTGATACTCCATGAGACACAACAGTGTCTGCTTTTACATTACTTCAGTTAGGTTAATTCTTCCAATTATACCTTTAAGTAATTATGAGATTTTCTTTCATAATATTCCTGAGATGATGGGATTATCAGGATTTTGCCCCATAAAATCTGAAAACAATGGAAAAAACCCACATATTCAAGGGCACAAATACAAACCTAATCTACACACAGCACAAACCTACCAGGTTTCTTATGGTGTGCATCAGTCAAGACTTTGCATTACTGTCCCTTCCTCTTTTGCCTTCTAGATTTACAATATGCCCTTTCTTTACATACCAAAACCAGTAATGCACTTAAGTAATGCACTTACTGTACCCTAAAAGTATCAGTTCAATATAATTCCAGAATTAAAAACAAATATCTGGAAAACCTTACAACAAATCCTTGATATCTCATCTCTGAGAGTTCCTCAAAATTTCCAGATGTGAAACATGTGAAATTAGTGAAACATGATGGTGATAATTTCTTCCACCTGGAAGCCCCCACATCAGGTCCATCAACTAGAGTTACCTCTTTCTTCACAGTAGTTGTATAATTGAGGAAAGCATTCTTCCACTAATGCATTTCTTTCTGCCTCTGATTCTAGCACAAATAAGCATAGTGAGATCAGGTTGTTATAACTTAAAAAAAAAATCATTGCAGTTTTGATCATTTTGTTGTGTTTGATAGCAGAAGCTTTGAATGAGTCAGAGGATAATTATTTCTCAAATAAGACAGATATTCTTACAGATAATCTTTGTACATTGATACCTGAAGTGATATGATGTAATGAGGTACCCCACCAAGATTGTGTTCACAAGCACATGCATAGCAAATCACATTTTAACCATTCTGCTTACAAGACACACATTTAACTGGAGATTTAAATACTGGTGAGCTGGATTTAAATTTGCAAAATGTACATCTAAATCCCAATTTTGTGCCCTCCCCTTCCTTCCAGCAGATAAAATTCTGAGCTTGCAACACTCAAAATATTAAACTACTCAGAATCTTGCAGAAAAGAGGAAGTGAGGCTTTAGGGTTGTCTCCACTTCTTCACATAACAGAAATTGCATTTGCTTGATATACAAGAATCCCACAGCCTCAAATCAAAATTTCTAGACTTGTTCCTGTGTAAAACTTTTTTCTGGTGACATTCTTTCCTCCCCTCATAGGGTTTACTATTAACACTTTATAAAATATTTTATCATCTTTTAAAATACCTTAAGAGATATGTTAACATACAGAGAAACAATGTATGTTTACCAACTGTAATTTTTAGAAGACTAACTAGCCATGTTTTTAAGGCTCCAAATTCAAGATCCTTCCTCCTTCTTCCACTCCTCACTTCTACTGTCATCTTTTCTCCCTAAACAGATATCCAAAAAAGCTGAGAATTTGCTTTTCATATTGAGCGTGTGTGCCCTCATAGGATATCTTTCCCATTTCCTGACCTTGCAAGACAGTGACCTGCCTTGCTTCCTCTGTGTTCCTCAGTACAGCACCTAACAGAGCAGAGCTTGTGTCTGTGAAACAAAGATTATTGTGAAGATCACAAAGAGATTCTGCCCAATTTTCACCAGTCAGAATTGTAGCAGAGGTCTCAAGTGCATACATTCAAACCAGGAGAAAATAAACCAGGAGTGACACATTGTAGCTTGTGCATTATATTATATGTGAGATGACACAGATTATCTTAACTCATTCCAGGTGTGAGGCATAAATACCACTCAGTAGTTTCTATTTTCTTCCTCCCCCACCCAATACATCTTTCTGTATAAAAGCTAAAATTATTCATAAGCATTTATAACTCACAAATCCACCACATGAAGATAGACTCTGAAGCAGACTAAACCACTCAGATCCAGTAGGTTTTATTAAGGCAAATTAATTTGCCTCAGTACCTGGCCATCCTGTTTAAAGGTGCACTTTGTTCCAGGGACAGTTCTGTTACTTTATTTGCTTTCACTAAGTGAAAATTTTTTCTTTCTTTTCAGCCTTAGAAGAGTACTAAAACTCAGTTTTTGTATTGCTTTCCCACTAACAGGGACACTAGGAAGAAAAGCACCAACCATTTGTTTGGACTCTACTGGGGAAAAAAAAAAACAACCCACAAACAAACCCAAAAAAACACACAGTCACAGAAGAAAATCTTCCTATGAATTCTTTTTTATATAAACATCACATAGCCAGCTTTAATTTTGGCACATCCTTACTTCTGAGTAGGATTATTTCCTTTCCTTTAGCACTATTTTAATTTTGGAAATAAATTTCTATATGACATCCTGTACTTTTATCATCTAAAGACATATGGCATGAGCAGGGGAAAGGAAAATCATAATTATGCAATATACCAGTTAACTAAAACCTGGTAATACTCTAGTACTAATCTTCACAGAAAAATATAAAACTGATAAAGCTGGGCAAAATTTGTTAACAGTTTGTTACAGAGGCTGTCTACTTTTTATTGATGGGCCGCTACTTTTCCCTGAGCTATTATAAAATCTGTGTCTTCAAGGTCGATTGAAGCATCATTTTCACTATAGGTAGAGATCAAATGGTTCTCTACAGTGGAACAGCAGCTCTTCACATAACAATGCTTTGTTCACGTTTGTTTTACCTGCAGGAAATCACAGAATGCATCACTGACAGAGATACTGGACTTAAAAGTAAGGTTCTGCTCTGAAGAGCAAATCCAGTCAAGGCTGTGTTTATTGTCTTTCAATGACACTATAGCAGGTGATTGTTTGAGAAAAAGATTTCTTTCTTCCTTCTGTATTGCTTCTTGAATGGTATGTTCCAAACTCCAACTAGGCTAATTTCCCTTGCTGACCATCAGCAGCAATGCAGACACTGCAGCAGCAGCTCTGCCCCCAGAGACACCCACACAACCTCACTCCTCTCCAGTAAGGTTCTGGAGTTACAGCTTGGCTTTCCCTCTCACTGCCAGACCTTATCCCATCTCACAACATACACAACTTGTAGTAGCTAACCACAGAAAGAATTTTCAAATTTCTGCCCTATTTTTAACATGAATACTTCAAATACAACATCTGTAGGAAGCACAGGCGCGAATGCTCAGACACAGAAGCAAGGGACAGCAATGTAACATTTTCAGTCTGACACAGGACACCAGTGCCTGGATGAAGATATTCATGTCTTGTGTAACTAAGACATTTGGAGTCACTCCTCACTCTGCTCTGAATGAAGAAGAGGACAAACAGTTAATGATTTTCCAGTGCCTAGTCAGTATGTTCGTCTTAACTTATTTCTGAGAGTACGCCAGGCTTTCAGAGGCTGCTTACATGGGCTCAGAAAGAGAGCATCAGGAAACACAGCAGTCAGGCAAACAAACTCTTCTCACAGCCACAAAACAGACCCATTCTGAGATGAAGCCAAATCCCTTTTGGTGAAAGAAACCACAGCAACAGAAAGAAAAATCTACAATCCTATTGTCCTTTACCATACCCCAAGCTCACGCCAGAATTTAGCTTTTGTTTTGTTATATTGTCCTGCAGCAACGAAAATTTATCCCCTATGCTCTTCTAGTTTTGCATATGAGGATGTTTTCCCCCATTCACTTCCTGCTCCAATCCACCCAGAATTCTCACACTTCTGCTATTTTCTCTGTTGAATGAACATCTCCTCCCCACTTTGTTCTGCTGTTAACTGCAAGAGCTTAGGATGCCATACTGTTGAAGGAAACAATTTCCAAAGGGAAATTCATTCACATTTTTCAGACCAGTTCAAGGATTTTCACAGCACAAATTTCATAGTAAAATAACCCAAAATAATTTGTATTGCCTCAGATGAGAAGAGGATAGTATCCTTACATTTGCACTTATGTCACAGGTCCTCTATGAAGAAATGCTGGCTTTTTTCCTACTGGTCTTTTACTCACCAAAATGTAATTGCTCATCACTTGGGCACTCTTTATCTATGCACCCACATACAACCAG